GAACCGGCCCTTCGTTCCTAGCGGGCCGGTTGCGGTTCGGCGGTTTGAGGGCCCGTGACCCGGCGGGCCGGGCCGGGCCCGGACCCGGCACCTGGCCACGTCTAACCTACTCCCCCTAGCCTGCCAATTTTCATCAATTATTACTCCTAAATTTAAATCAAAACAAAAAATTTCCCCCAAAATTTCCCATCACCAAAAACCTAATTCCAAATTTTCCAAAACCCTTGCTCTCAAACCTCTACATTCTCCCTCTCACAGCCGTTGTATTCCTTTCCCCAAATGCTTAAACCCTCTCCCCTAATTTTTGTGTACATCCCCGTGATTCTTTTTTTCGGATTGTGATTTCGAAAATGGTGTCTGGTTCCAGAGCCGACGGCGGCGGCGCGCAAGTTATATCGGCGGGCGTGCGTAGAACGATTCAATCGATCAAAGAGATTGTGGGCAACCACTCGGACGCCGATATTTACGTGGCCCTTAAAGAGACCAATATGGATCCTAATGAAACCACTCAAAAGTTGCTCAATCAAGGTTGTTGCCTAGGAAGTTTCTTTGTTTTTCATCGATTTCTTTTCTTTTTTTATTTTCTTGATGTGGTGTGTTGGTTCTGTGTGTTGTCTTTTAGCTTGGTGGTTACATGGTCTGGAAAAAATGCACTGAGTGAGGATATTGTTTGGTTTCTTGGTAATGCAACTAGAGTAAATAGGGTGGGGTTGTAGGGTTAGTTCAGTAGACATTTGCTTACTTATTCTTGCATGTGATGTTGTGTTACTTTATGGAACAGCGGTTATGAATGAGTGTTCAGATGAATTGGTAGGCATAAAGTTGGCATATTGATATGTAGCCCTAACTCTATCAATTTAATTAATGGCTTGAAATAGTGATGGGAATACCTTGAAACCAAAAAAAGATCCTAAATCAGTATGTTTGTTTAACGAGAAATGATGGTGATCCGCCAAACTTTATTTCTACATTTGTGTTATAATGTTGATTGTATTTGTGGAGCCCTGTTTTTCCTGTATTCAAGACCAGTACATGTGTTTTTTCAGCGGTTCCACGTGCAGCTTAATCGGCTTAAAAACTTTGCGGATTGTAGTTCNACCCACAATATTTATGGATCATTTTATGTATATATTCTTTTCAAACATCTCTATATATTATTTTACAATAATTTTGGCAACTTGTTATCGTGCAGATCCATTCCATGAGGTGAAGAGGAGAAGAGACAGGAGAAAGGAGGTATAACTTACTATTGGACTGTTACTTTTTTTTTTTCGGTTTATCATGGTCCTATTAAGATGCTTGAGCTAATTTCTGTTAACTTAAAGTTTGTATTCGTGTTTGTTTCAGTCTATTGTTGGTTGATTTAGTTGTTAATCTCTGAATTTTGTCTATTGATGTGTTTCCTTAATATGTGAATTTCTCTTTGTTGTTTGCCCCAGATCGCACCTTATAGGAGCTTTTCTACACCAGAGCCTCTGAAAAGCCCTGAGCCTGCACGTATGCCGGTGAAGAATAGTACTTACTCCGATCGTAATGCTCGAAGAAGTGGTTATAGTCGAGCTACTGTAACTGGTAATATGATCTCCTGTATACTTCTGCAGTTCTGCTATTTCTTTTACTTCCAATATGGTGGTGTTGGGTTGCTGACCGACTCCAGATGAAAAGTTTGTTATATTTTCCTTCCCTGAAACAAAACCACTTCCACTCACCGATTCTTATGTCTACTGTGGGTGGGTAGTTTTTACTTTACTCTCTGATCCTATGAGTTATACTCCAAAATCTATTCTGGATTAAATATTTGTGCTTCAAATGTTAATATATGTATCAAAAAATTGGCAAATATGGTGACTTATCATTGCTGCCTCGGGAAACAAAGGAAACCCAGACCACCTAAAGTCTTTAGGGAATTTTGTTATGGGTGATGGATCCTGATGTGATTAACTTCCTGCGATTCTGTTACTTTTGTATTTTTGTATCAACCCTCATTTCATTGATTTAATCTGTTCAACTGGATGCAGGAGCAAGCCAGGAGTTTCGTGTTGTCCGAGACAATAGAGTCAATCAGAATTCTAGTGCAGACTTAAAACCTGCTCAAGGTGCAAGCGAGGTGGTTATCTCCAGTGGGTCTACCATGAGGTAATGTAATATAAAGTTGGCTTTTGTTTAACTGTGCTAGTTCTTTCGCTTCCACGTGTAATTGCCTCGTCTGCTAAGATGTTGACGCTGTTCTTAACATAATCAACCAGGGTAATTTTAATGAAGTAATTGTTTTATTATCATACTAATTTTACGTTTCAGTCACCATGACATGAGTTTATAAAATGTTTTCTTCCTAACTATCCTAGTAGTCTTATGAGGGACACTCCTTTATTACTCCCTGCGTGCACAGATGCCATGGGGAAAATAAATAATGGAAAAATACACCAGAGAACAGAAAAATCTGGGTATCTTTTGCACTCCTCAAACTAAAGTTGAAATTATGTGATATTTTTTGCTTGGCTTGAGCATTATCTTAAAACTTCATTCTTTACAGCAGTTCAACTGAAACTTCTGGACGTCAAGAGCCTTCAGTTGGTCAGCATTCATCTCGGGCTCTTAATAGTCCTGCTGTTACACAACCGAAGCAAGCTAAGGTTCCTGCATCAGGTGGTAATGATGGGAAAGAAATTCTTTTGGAGAAGCACCTCCCGATTGAAAGAAATTCACGGGTGCAAACAAAAGCGAATGGCTCTCAACCATACTCGACAGGTTCTTCCAGTAGTTCTGTTGTGGGTGTTTATTCATCAAATTCCGATCCAGTTCACGTGCCATCCGTTCATTCTAGACCCGCTGCCAATATTGGGGCCATCAGGCGGGAAGTTGGAGTTGTGGGACCTCGTCGCCAGTCTTCTGAAAATTCTGCCAAGTCCTCGGCATCTCAGAGCACCCGTTTGCCCAATAAACAATCAGGACGAGATGGTCAACCACGGGAGTCAACAAGATCATTCAACGCTATATCTAAAAGTGAACAGGCGAATCAAAATATGGCACCCGAGTCTGCGGTACCTGTGAACAAGTCTTTCGCAAGCAATCATCAGTATGGTAGTAGCAGACCTCATCAACCCATGGGTCATCAGAAAGGTTTGATAGCAATTTTTTTATTTATTTAAAACCCCCCTTTTTTTGTTTTTTTTTTTTTTCAAATTACTTGGAACCATAATCAGTTTTTATTATATAGCACCACCTTGTTGTATTAATTAAGAATTACTTTTTGGTAAACACTTTTGGTTATTATTTTTGTGCGACGGCTAATGGACATCATAACTCATTTGCATACAAGTGAAAAAACATAGAACACAAACGAACTCATTAGAAAGTAAGGCTGTCGGCTAACCTGAAAGATAGTAGTGGATGAGATGTTAATCTGGTTTACATTTCCGATTTATATCAACTTGTGGATATGCAGTTCAGTTGTCATTTTCTGACTCTGACTCCTTCAAGTCTATTTAGTTGTTGGAAAACTTACTGAAGGTTGAAGCTTTCATTTTGTAGCTTCGCAGCGTAATAAAGAATGGAAGCCAAAAGCAACTGCAAAACTGGGTGCCAGTGGTCCTGGGGTTATTGGAAGCTCTGTAAAAACTGTTTCTCCTCCTTCGGATAAGCCAGATATATTGAGAAAGGAGGAACCTCAGATAGTAGATAACGTGTCACGATTAAACATATCTGATAACCAAAATGTGATTATAGCTGCCCATATTCGTGTTTCTGAGACGGACAGATGTCGACTGACCTTTGGCAGCCTCGGAACCGATTTAGGTACACCAGCAAATTCGATGAGTGTGGCTGTGGGTGCAGAAGCTCTATCTATCAATCCTTCTGGAAGGTTGTTTTTGTTTATAACTTGTGTTATCGTAAGCTTAATGATTTTTATGTTACAGTTACTTTTTATGGTACTGCTGAAGAAAATTGCTCATCTAATCTGTTTCTATTGTGCATTTATGAAGTTGAGTTAGCTGCAAAAGTCATTGTTCTGTCATGATATTATTTACTCCATTGTTCCTTGCCAATAAAGACTTCAGTTATATTAGGGTTTTTTTTTTTTTTTTCCTGCTTCTTATAATGGGGACAATTCTAAATGTTTTTTCTTATTTCAATAAAAATTAAACAAGATTTGTTCCATATATGTTCAATATTTGCCTTTTCTAATGGAGATTGTTTAGTATTACGATCAAGTCCTAGTAGAATTGACAACAAACAATATGCATTTGCAGCGTATCCATCTCATCCCCAGAGTCATCGGGAGATGAGCAGGCCAAGCCGTTAGAGACGATGGATGATTCTGTTCGAAGATCAGGGTCTGATTCCCCTGCTTCTAGTGGTATATCTGATCATAAACCAACTGGGAATGAAGGGTCTTCAGTGCTCCAGGATATGGGCAACTATGCCGGTTCTGGCCTGGTACGGGACAATAGCCCATCTTACGCCCCTGAAACACTACAGCAGCAAGACACATCTGAACTGCCAAGCTTCTCCGTGAGTTTGTTTAATTTCGATTTTTTTTTGTTTTAAATTTGTTACTCATTGTTTAGCTGGTTTAAAGACTATTCCTAGTTTACTTTTGGATTGTTGTTTTGATTTAGTATAGTATCTGAATCGCAATTTATTTTTATTTTTTATTTTTTATTTTTTGCATATAGGGTTATGACCCACAGGTGGGCTATGACATGGCGTACTTCCCCCCAATTGCCGATGAAACTGTTGGAGGAACAGGTCTACCTTCATCTCAAGAGGTTAGAATAAATTGTTTTTGTTTTTTGGTTGTTTCTCATATGCATGTACACTGTCACTCTAATCCATGTGTCAAATATATATCCACATTGCAACCTCTCTCTCTCTCTCTCTCTCCCTCCTTCACACACACACACACACACACACACACACACACACACCACCTGTTTTATAAATATGCTTGGTGCTGTGTAATCTAGAAGCGTATTTTGGGACGGTCACTTGTTACTATCTAGAAGTGTATTTTATAGTTGTCTGCTACCTCAAATAGGAATTAACTTTATATTAGAATAATGGCCACAACAAGCTGATTGTCAAAATTTTATCATGTTCTGTATAAATATAAATAGCAGGAATTATCAAATAGTTCCGAAAAGCTACTCCGGAGATTTACCCTAATTTCAAACCGAATTTTATTTTATCTATCTAGGTTTC